CCTCCCTGCCCATGGCTCAAACCAGGCCCAAATTGCGCGTGCGATAGATGGGACCAGCGACCTTAAGTCAGCTCCACTGCTTTGAGGTTAATAAGCATTTTTTATTATCCAGATTATATCGAATTAAATTTAAGTCAAATACTAAATTCAGCAGATTTATAGATTCGACACAAATTGATTACCCTTAATCAATATTCCTATCCCCCACACATGATATGAAAGTTAAACGACGTTTCAGTTTTTGAACCGTCGTCAGTTTCGACTGGATAAGGCGGCAGAAACATGCATCAAAATCGTAATTTGTCTCTCATTTGTGTCAGATTATTTGATGCTAGACACGTTATTGTGACTTATCCCTTCTTTATCTAATTCTCTCTCACTCTTACATAAACGACTATTCTGTAGCAGAACATCGTTATATTCCGGTCTTGTCCTTATTTTCATGGTGGGTACAGTAAATAGTTCCGTGATTTGCGGTTTGATTTGTTCATCCTACCATGAACACCCAAATCACGGAACTATATATTCTACCCACCATGAGAGTAAGGGCAAGACCGGAATATAACGATGCCAACACAGAAGACACTGTTCAACATAACAGGCCTATTACACCTGATTAATTTATCTAAAATTGATACTTGCCCAAACCGCTATGCGTCTTAGTGGCTGTGTGAAGCTACCATTTATACCACAAAATTTGCAAACAATAAGTCATTGTACTATTTATAAATCAATAAATGTGAATGTGTTGTACATGAGCGCGCGGCTCGTGTACAACACTAGTATTTCTGACACGTATTCCTTCACACCTGCCACACGTCCCACAGCTCAGCGGTGGTATTCCTTCACACCTGCCACACGTCCCACAGCTTAATGGTGGTATTCCTTCACACCTGCCACAGCTCAGTGGTTGTATTCCTTCACACCTGCACACAGTGGTGGTATTCCTTCCTGCCACAGCTCAGTATTCCTTCACACCTGCCACAGCTCAGTGGTGGTATTCCTTCACACCTGCCACAGCTCAGTGGTTGTATTCCTTCACACCTGCCACACGTCCCACAGCTCAGTGCTGAGCTGGGTGTTGAGCACGGGCACTACACATGCACCTCTCATCAACAACAATTGTCATTCCACCGTAAAGTCCTTTACTAATAATCAGGCTGCATCAGAAATTAGGGGAAATCGCCCCGCCTCTTGAAGAGTTTTTAACATACACTCTGATATTTCCTACTTTCCAACAATTCCCCCAGGTGTATAAGGGAACTCGTGAGTACATACAAATACTTTCTTTAGATATATATAGAAACACACTGCAGCTTTCGAGTGCCACAATTGTTTAGTGAATCATACATATAAAACGTAAAACTAAATACAGTAAAATAATATTTTGATTATATTTAACAAAATATTTACTAGTTTAATATCAAGAATATGATCTTGATTGGAAGTGAGCCACAACAGTGTCGCTACGGAGTAATGTACTGGATGTCCTGGATAATTCAGACACGGCCGATAGATGCACGGATGTCAGACACGGCCGATAGATGCACGGAGGTCAGACACGGCCGATAGATGCACGGAGGTCAGACACGGCCGGTAGATGCACGGAGGTACACTAAGAGCCATGCACACGCCGGAAATAGCGAGGTGTAAAGGGTCAGCGGTGTGTAAAGGACTTCGTGGAACAGCGAGAAACGTGGTGGTATCACAGGACTAGGCTAGAAAGAGCACGCTGGACTAGTCAATCCGCCACCGTCGTCTTCACCCGCACCTTGATTGCGGTCAACCACAGTCATAACTACAGTACTACCTGGACTCCTGTGATGGAATCATCCAGTTGACGAGCATTAAATATTCGAGAGAAACGCCGATCGTGTGGACAATAATTCATATTAAAATGTCTAGAGTCAAAACCTCGACATCAAAACCTATGAATATTCTGATCAATTATTGGTGTTTTAATTCAAAACAAAACAAAAATCTAAAACCAATGTGTCGACAAAAACCATTCACTTCACTATTAAATTAAACGAAAATATCCACGAATAAAATTTACATATTGGCCAAAATCTTAGTAAAGTATACCAGGTTTACCTACAACTAGTAGGTAGTACATACACTACTAACTCTTATGTGAATGTAACCTTTCTGTCGTCGCCCACTCAAGGGTGGGGGTGTGAGGTGCATGATAAGGCAGTGAATGATAGAATGTAACGGCTGAGGCTGAGCCACTACCAGAATATTCAGCTTGTAAAATGTGACAAGCCATTAAATCACTCACTTGAACACTATATTATTGAATGTGAAACTGTACAAGATTGTAGACCTCCTGACCTGTTGTGCAATCAACTATATGACAGAATCTGGTATATTGGAAGATATTTAAATTATTTATTTTAATTGTGTCCATATTAAAGAATGACGAACGAGGAATAAAAGTTATTTTTTAAGCTACATCTCTTGTGAATGAATTCTTGCCCCGTGTTGCATTGAACAATAGAAAGTTGCACTTACAAATTTGTCAATTAAAGATGCATAAAATCTGATGTAGTAGAGTGTGACCTCACGAAATGCGGATTTAAATATACAATTTAGACCAATTGTCTTGTGTATGATCATCCATATGTAAGCACCAGCCTCACTATAATAAAGACCTAACTGAATTACTCCGATTAGGCAAAATTATATATTAATTTGGTCACCAATAGTAATAATAAATTACTATTTTAAATGCATAATTACGAAACATGAATTACAACTTCCAAGGAAATGTTGCCGTGCTTAGACATGAAGAGGCGAGACCAAGGAACAAAGCAAGATGGCCCGTGTGCCCTCAGAGAACAAGATGGGGTTACGTGGGGAGGGGCAGAGGGAGGAATGTCTGACTCCAGGAATGTCAACACGTTTAAAATAACCTTTGCGATATATTCAAGGTCGTTCCGAGTCTGTGTATAGGTGTGTGCGAGCACGCGCGTCTTGGTCGCTGCCTGTACTAGATGTACCTGTAAGCGCCAGCCTAATTTGGTTATATTTTGCCACGAGGGTCGAGTTTATTGGTCAGCGCCACTCATCCTGCCTACTGTCAAACAGGTTCCCGGGTGCATCTGTGCCTTCCTGGGGTATACTGCTCGTGTTTTGTTACGTCTCTTGTGCCACTGTTGTGTCATTACTGCTGGCTCGTTGCTCTAGTTTAGAAGCTTTAAAGGAAGTGGTGGGGAGTCGTACCCTCTCCAAGTCGCATGTTGCTCTGTTCTTTCATCCAGCCCCCTCTCAACACTCCCTCCCCCACTCACACTCCTCCCCCCTACACTTCTCCCCTCTACACTCACTCCTACCCCCTCCCCCCTACACTCCCTCACTCACTCCTCCCATCACACACACACTCACTCCTCCCATCACACACACACTCACTCCTCCCCTCACACACACTTGCTCCCACACGCCCTCCTTCACTCACTCCCTTTCCCCACTCTCACTCAATCTCCTCCTCCCGACTCACAGACTCCCACCGCTTATAGGCTAAACACCTTGTTAAAAACGCAAGAAGATACTGAGGAGTGGCTCAGCCCCCCACTACCTCTTTATCAGTACAGAGGTTGACAAGAGGGTGGAGTGCAACACTAACAGTCCAACCCAACTCCAGCAACAGACCCAATGTATCATGTGTGCAGGTTAAAGTAGCAGTGAAGAATTCTGCAACCAAATTCCCAAAGATTGGAACAAACAAGTTGCCACCCATAGGAGGGCTGGAAGGTAAAGAGCTCCCTGGCAATTTAGCTTTTTTGTTGGGCGTTTGGTTGGGATTTTTCCGTTGAGCGCTTGGAATTTTTTGTTTTGCTGGCCATTTTGGATTTTTTTGTTGGGTATTTGGAATTTTCTTTGTTGGCCATTTTGGATTTGTGGGGAAATGGAAGATTCCAACCCAACTGCTGTAAGCCAAAGACCAACCAGGAACAGATAATTTAGGTCATCTGTTTAAGGAAGGACAACACACAAATGGCTTTCTTTTGCATACATATTAGAAACATTCACAATTGTAACTAAAGTCCATAGTAAAATGATATATAGAGTTAAAGGAAGTTACAAGCCATGGAACTAAAAGCATCGGTTCCAATCTGTTCACATCCTTCAGCCATGGTGAATCAGGATGAATGAAGGTGTGTTGGGCATATTCCATGCTGTGGTATCAACAATTTATGGCAGTTGGTGGTAGTGACCTCTAGCTAAGCCTGAGAGACTGTGTGGGATACCTAAGAAATATGATAAGCAACCAAAACTCAATCTAATTTCTATGCTCACAATGTCACAATACTAATGAGCAACACTTTTTAATTTTAAGGTTTTTATAGCAAAATATTAAAATTTGCAAAGGTTGAAATTATAAAATAAAAATATAAATGGCAAGGACTTAAAAGTATAAAAATACTTTTTATCTACTAGTATTAGTATTATCACTAGCACTGGTAGTAGTAGCAACATTAAAGAACTGTGCAGACGATGACTCACAATAACATGGCTGAAGATATGAAGGAAATATGATATATCTCCACACGCCAGAAGGAGAGATGATGTTTCGGTCCATCCGGACTATTATCAAGTCGACTGTGACGGAAGCGAGGGAGGCACGGCATTTCCTCCTCTTCACCTGTCTCTTCCCTTACTTATTGCCCGTGCCTCCCTCGCTCCCATCACAGTCGACTTGTTAATGGTACAGGACAGACCAAAACGTTGTTGTCTTTTCTGGTGTGTGGTTTAGTCTTCATTAATAACTGTATTTGAGCTTTAAATTGCTACAATAATTCAAACGCTAAATGAAAACCATGTAAACATATTTATGTCAATCTTCTTGGCACAAAAGTAATGATGCAACTACAAAGTTACATACAAGCTACAACACCCAATGTTTAAGTTTTTAAATAAACTAAAAATGCATATTGAAATGGTCAAGATACCAGCTCTACAGAACCCACAAAAACCTATGATAAACAATGAATAATTACCTTGCCAATGCCATAGGTTTTTGTAGGCGTGTTCACAGAAATAAAAATCAAATCTGCTTCCTTAATGGCAGTATCAATGTCATTCGAGAAGAAGAGGTTCCTTCCACGACATTCCTTCACTACATTTTCCAAGCCAGGCTAAAATATAAATATAAAATTATTGTTATACTGTATATGAACCACAATTTTTTTCTATGACACTACATAGTAGACCACTGACATATTTCAGTATTGTTACAGTTTAAAGTGTTAAATCCACAAAAATCTACTAATATAGTAAGAAAAGACTAAGGTACAGGTATTACAATATTTTGAACAAAATAGGGGGCCAATATCTAAATAAAGATACATGAAAATATAGTACCTCATAGATGGGTAGCTTGTCAGAATTCCACTGCTTGATTCTCAACTCCGACTTGTCAACAACATGAACACGAATATCTGGACACTTCCAAGCTATGACACTACAAGTTGGACCCCCAACATATCCAGCACCAATGCAACATACATTTTTCACAACCATTGTTAATTCTGGAAAGAGAAAATTAAACACTAACATTATTATTATTATTATTATTCAGGCCCCAAAGTAAAAAATGTGCAATCTCAGTCTTAAGTTTCCATTTTTTTATACTGAAGAACTTGAAAGTTTAAATAGGCCACTTTATATGATTAATACAGTAGGGTATTTATAATCCAATATCTGAAATGTGCAAAATGATAAAATTATTATATTGTAATGTAATATAATGTTCAGAAATCCAAACAAATGCTCGTAATAAATTCTTTCATCAGGTAATCTAAAACATTAAGGATATGAATTTAATAGAAAAGTACAAAAAAAATATATATTTACTTTTAATATCAACATTGTCATTTCCTCACAGCAAAAAACTTTACAACAACACTACATTAGCTTCAATATTCGGAATTTCTGTACAGGAACATATTTCAAGCCAATCGTGGCGCACCTTTCTACATTACAGTACCACCATACTACTTATACTGAATAAAACCAAACTACTTATGGTATATAGGTTAATACTCAAATGTATTCTTTTAAGTATTCCTACAAGTTTCATTAGTTATATTTTAAGTCAAACTTCCATGCAAGAAGAGGGATGTCAACAAAGTTCAACCCCATCCTCCTAAAATAATACTGTACTGTGTGGGGGGTAGAAATAGCCTAAGCTACTCTATCCCTTTGAGATGTATTTTTTTCTTGTCTCAATAAACATACTTGAACTTGAAAGTACAGTTCTTATAACAATTATTTGGTCAAACATATCAATACATATGTACTGTTATCCCCCAAAAGTTCACGTTTTGTATATTTGAATTAGCACAGATCGCATTCTATAAAATCAGAAATGTATAAAACCTTAATTAACCTTTACAACCAATTCTAGGCCTAATATTTTTTTTAGGCCTAATATAAAACATGTGGAATACTAGGCCCAAGAATATTTACGTTTTATTTTAAGCTTTTTTCCCCCCTTGGACAGTAAAATGGTAAAAAACATGAACTTTTTGGGGCCCAACAGTACATATTTATAATTTCAACCAAATATTTATCACAAGTAGAGTACAATATGTATCATATTAGAAGGAGGGGGTTAAAAACGATATATGCAGCTCAACAAAGGTGGGATTGTTGGATTGTTTCAAGCATAGAATAGGCACACAGTAAAGTGTATCGAGCAAGTTGGTTATATTTAAAAAAAAAAGATCTCACATGAGCCAATAGGCCAACTAGAGTTTCCTCTATATTCTTGTTATCGGCACACACAGACTAAATGTCCAATAATACAGCACTATACATTAATATTATAATACATTTAAAAATGTGAGCATTTCTCAAATGAAACTCCTGCAACATTATGCATGGTTAAAGTTATGAATGTGATCAATTTCATTTGAAAAAAATTAATGCGTGTGACAACCACATCCACATTGTAACAGGAAAATTAATTACTAGTACTAACTACACTTTGCCAGTTTGAATTTAACATAAGAAGACGTCCATCTTTCAGTTACTGTACTTGGATTCACCAGAAGAAAAATATGAAAGGTTCAGCAACAGGAAATCAGTGGATAACATTAGGGAATACTATACAATATACATGTTCATACATTGGGTAAACCTTATCAGTAAGACTAGAAATCTACACACCACAATCTTCCACTACACACAGTTCAACATATTAGGTTTCCTGGGTTCTCAATCTATATAGCTACTCTTTAAGCAAACCTAACTTAACACATCCAAACTTTACTCAAAGAATAGATATTTTTGGTTTGTTATACTGTATATACACAATGTGCGATGTGTTACGTCATTGTTTTAACTCTTAATAATCTTTTTGGATGCTACAGAGTCGAGAAACCGTTAAGGGAAAAGGAAGCGTGGCCCAAGTGTATGTCCTTACTGCGGGATTCTAACCAGAGACCTCAATTTTTCTAGCAGTTAAAGTGTTTAACGCGTCTTCCAACAAATGCAACCTTCAAGAAAATCCAGTGACTGTTACGCATGATACTTCCTGCGTCAGGACATTAAACCCATACACACCTTTGCACTGGGAGCACACTAACTGTATTTACTCTGCCGGTCGCTGTTTACTCTTCTCGAAACTCCCTTTCTATAGACATCAGCAGGTAGTAAGAGATATACGGGAGTTGAACGGTAACATAAAACGTCATTAAGACTGTGACAAGAGTTGTTAACAAAATATTTCTTACAACCCAACAGCAGCCAGACAGACTCACCTCCTCCGTTCTCGACGCCTGACAGCTGACTGGAGCTGAAGGTAAACACAGACTCAGGGACCCTGAGTGTACTGGTGACGTGAGCAGCGAGCCACGCTCTAAAGTTGCACGTTACTATATATATATTTTTGTTACAATAATTTGGTTGAATATCCTCATTGCTGAGATAATAATATAACAACATTACGTTTCACGTCATTAAAGAGTACGGTCAGCTAAAATTTTACCCTCTTGAGCTTAAGATAATAGAGAGGGGTGTTCGAGGCCTTTTGCCAGTATATATAGTCAGTTCTCTTATAAGTAACCTTGAAAGGTAAAAATCTTAATTGTAATTTGTAAAAATATGAACAGGAAATATATTATGTAGCTTTAGTGTTAATTAGTATCACGCTCCGAAGATAGATAAAGCTCAAAGAGCAATCTATATACATTATATACAGTATATATATATATATATATATATATATATATATATATATATTATATATATATATTATATATACTTTGATGACCACTATAGCTGAACATGTACACAACATTGCATAAGGGAAGAGTGTCACCATAACCTACACCTAGTGTTTACTGTGACTTGTGCTTCAAGTGAAAGTATTAATGCAAGAAAACAAATTAGATAAAGATAATACAACGCATAAAGTAAATTTGAATTATAATTAAGCTAATAATAGTATTCATTTATAAAGTTTATTTTTTATGTAGTGCTTTGGTGGGGACCTAAAAATGTTCCTCTAATGTTTAATGTGTGCTTTTCTCTGAGGCAATGGGTTCTTTCGCAACCAGACGTGGTACACCGTTTATAAAGAAAAATATCCACTGGTTAAATTACACCGAATTGATTCATGGTATATACCATACATTGCTATTTTTTATTAATAAAACAATGAGGCAATGGAGCCTACTCCATATAGAGCCTATTCAATGTTTTTGTTTTATTTTAAATTCTTGACCTGTCCCCTGTAATCTTGAAAACAAAATCAATATAATAATACTCGTCAATTTCTCCTAAGCTAGACCTAACATACCTTTGGCAAAGGTAAGAATTTACCCATGGACAATAACATTAGGGACACTGTATTTTACCCTAAGAAGGTAACTCACCCTTCTGCTTCCCCAGAAGATGGTAGTTCTGTCATATCTCTCGCTGGTACAATGATCTGGTACAACAATCTGGTACGCTGGGACAATCACAGTACCACGCTGCCCCCTGTCACTGCTCACGCCACACTAGTTCCTCAAGTCATACTCGGGGGGGGGGGATATATAGGTAACAGCCGGCTTCTTGACAGCTTGTCATCAGCTTGTAATTAGCGACAGACACGCTTGTAAAACAAAAAAGGGTTGGCCAGCTTGTGGACCGGCTGGACAGTGCTGGTCTGTGCCTCATCTGAGCTTGCAGACGACATATCCTGCTCGGCCTCTGTCTGGCAAGGTGTCAGTTGACAAGTCTTTACTCCATAAGGTCAGCCTCCTGGCCTCTGTTGGCCAAACCCGAGGAGAGGAATAGGGAGAAGAGAAGTGTTTTTAAGATGGTGGGAGGGGGATGACTGCTCTAGGGAGTTTTTCTAAAGGTCATTTCCCCTGACCTTATACTAGTACGGAATAGGGAAAGAGGAAGGGGAGGTGGTAAGAGGGAGGTATAGAGAGAGAGAGGGGAAGAGAATACCCCTACTGATACAGTGTGATATTATACGAAAAATCATTGGAGCAATCTGGGGATTTGAACCAACACATCGATTATCTGAATAGCTTACAGAGGTAGTAGGAGGAAGAGAGGTGTTTTTTGTCACACGTGGAACACTGCTGGCTGTGGGGTCAGGGGACGTGGCAGCAGTTGTGGGGTCACGGGATGTGGCGGCAGTTGTGGGGTTACGGGACGTGGCAGCAGTTGTGGGGTCACGGGACGTGGCAGCAGTTGTGGGGTTACGGGACGTGGCAGCAGTTGTGGGGTCACGGGACGTGGCAGCAGTTGTGGGGTCACGGGACGTGGCGGCAGTTGTGGGGTCACGGGACGTGGCAGCAGTTGTGGAATTACGGGACGTGGCAGCAGTTGTGGGGTCACGGGACGTGGCGGCAGTTGTGGGGTCAAAGGACGTGGCAGCAGTTGTGGGGTCACGGGACGTGGCAGCAGTTGTGGGGTCACGGGACGTAGCAGCAGTTGTGGGGTCAAAGGACGTAGCAACAGTTGTGGGGTCACGGGACGTGGCAGCAGTTGTGGGGTCACGGGACGTGGCAGCAGTTGTGGGGTCAAAGGACGTGGCGGCAGTTGTGGGGTCACGGGACGTGGCAGCAGTTGTGGGGTCACGGGACGTGGCAGCAGTTGTGGGGTCAAAGGACGTAGCAACAGTTGTGGGGTCACGGGACGTGGCAGCAGTTGTGGGGTCACGGGACGTGGCGGCAGTTGTGGGGTCACAGGACGTGCCAGCAGTTGTGGGGTCACAGGACGTGCCAACAGTTGTGGGGTCACAGGACGTGCCAGCAGTTGTGAGGTCACGGGACGTGGCAGCAGTTGTGGGGTCAATGGACGTGGCGGTAGGAGTTCCAGTATAAAGTCACCACATAAGGAAATTTTCAAAGTAGATGTGATGGAATGTGATTAGACAAGAGACGAGTGGAAAGACGGAGTCCAGGAGTTGAAGCTCAAGCCTAGAGGTAGTTGCAACCCGTTCTCGCACTTTCTTATAGTCAATATTGACTTATTAAGTACGTGCATATGTGACATACTAATTTATTGTAAATATTTTCGTTTACCTTGAAAAGCTTTATAGAAAACACCGACCTTACCTAACCTTCTTAGTATGTTAAGATAAATATCTTAGTGCTTCGTAATTACAATTATTACTTAACCAATTATGAGTTACCCTCATACACACACACACACAGTCGAAGAGTAATGACTGGAGCCCACTAAGGCCTGTATGACCTGCCCAATTTCTCATCTATGTCTTTCTCACCTGACCAAAGAGGGTCAATAGACTTACATAATGTTTCCACATCATGTAAGATTGACGAGACGAGTCAAGACAGATGAAGCATGCATTATATACCAACGATGCTTAGACAGGCTAAAAGAGTTGCTCCGGGAAATGACTACTTAAATTCAATGTCAGCAAATGCAAGGTGATGAAAACGGGTAAAAAGGAAGCCATAATGACCTATAGTAAAGCAAAATTAGATCAAAATGCTTTACTTTCAGAATAAACTTGAACGTTGGCAGAGGCCAATGCCAGAAAATTCATCCTAACTCATAAATGCATTATGTTCAGGACAACTTAAATTATTTCTAAACATATTTTCTACGGATTAAAAATCTAGAAGATTAGATTAGAACTTCGCAGCGTGAAGGTCCAAGTCTCTGTACACAGTTCCTTCACTCCAGCTTCATTCCTTTGTCTTCACTTACTCACTTTGCCTTAGTGTTTTCTTCTAAGTATTACTTTGCCTGCCCTGAGTGGATGCATCTCTCTCATTGGTTGATGCAAAGAAGACATTTCTCTCAGCTCTTTGTCATCTTAGTGAGAGATAGTCTTGTTGCAACTTCCGTAGATGCTGTCCTAACCACTTGATTGTCCTTCCCAACCTTTAACGAATCTTGGAGACAGTTAGGGTATGGTTGCAGGATGGTCGGAGGCCATCGGCACACCATCACCGCCCACGGAAATACTTAGCAAGGAAGAATACCCACCAGAGTTTGGTACCGGCCATTTCCTGTCCTACTTTTTCAACTGCAAGACGGGGACAGAGTTGTTGGAGTCCCCCCTCGGGTCAGTCATATCTAACGCCGGACAACAAGACCATTAACAATCAAGAGGAACATTGCAGGTCCTCGCAGGAACATTGGCTTTATAAACTATAATTTATATGCTTGTGTTTTTGAGTAAAGAATCAATAGGAGAAGTAGTCCCAAGCTAGGGAAGATATACCCAGCTTCATAATGGTTTAGAATGCCAACTATCTTCACCCAGAACCTCCTTGAAAGTACTCGAGCGAAAAAGACATTGGCCAGGGAGGACTGACTGGCTGCCACTCTTTAACTGTTCGCCTCTGTTCACCCAACAGTAATTGGGGGTCCTGGTTGTAAACCGTCTGGTTGGTCATGTTCAAGGGAAAACTAGTAGGGGGGGGGGGGGTAAGGCTTGCCATGAGTTACGGCAAAGGAACGCTCTCAGCCTGCTAACAGGAGTCAGAAGTCCTGAAACCAACCGTGGAAAAAAATAGGCGAATAAAGGATGACTACTGTATCGCAGTAGTCAGCGAAGTTGTGTTACACTTGCAAGGTCTCGGGTTCCATTCCCACAGCAGGACGGAGACGATTGGGCACGATTTGTTATGCCAAATGCATCTCTCTTCGCCTACCTGTCAATAGGTACCTGGGAGTCAGGCAACTGTTGTAAGTTGCCAAAATAGGTTTCTTGCTCTCGACAAAGGGAATCAAAACCGAGAGAAAGTACATTACGTTGATGGTACACAGGCCTCGATACCACCTGGCTGAGGCAGACAAAGGCAGATATACAGAGCCCGTAGGAGGAATCAGAGCCTCCCCAAGCTGTCTGCCGAGGCTGAGAGAGACAGAGACCGCAGGAGACAGCAGTACCGAGGCTGAGAGAGACAGAGACCGCAGGAGACAGCAGTACCGAGGCTGAGAGAGACAGAGACCGCAGGAGACAGCAGTGTCGAGGCTGAGAGAGACAGAGACCGCAGGAGACAGCAGTGTCGAGGCTGAGAGAGACAGAGACCGCAGCAGACAGCAGTACCGAGGCTGAGAGAGAGACCGCAGGAGACAGCAGTGCCGAGGCTGAGAGAGACAGAGACCGCAGCAGACAGCAGTGCTGACGCTGAGAGAGGCAGAGACCGCAGGAGACAGCAGTACCGGGCATGAGAGAGACAGAGACCGCAGGAGACAGCAGTGCCGAGGCTGAGAGAGACAGAGACCGCAGCAGACAGCAGTGCCGAGGCTGAGAGAGACAGAGACCGCAGCAGACAGCAGTGCCGAGGCTGAGAGAGACAGAGACCGCAGGAGACAGCAGTACCGAGCATGAGAGAGACAAAGAGAGACACAGGGATCGCAGGAGACCATCTCAAGGTGTCTGCCGGGATCCTTTCCACCTCAGCGGCTGCCTGAAGGTCACAGCAGCCGGCAGCCACATTCAACTTTCCGATAATGTA